GTTGCATTCAGGATGCCATCGTCACTGGCCTCGTTGAGAGGGCCAAGGAGATTGGTAGTGACACCCAATATAGCTTTCGATCTAGTGTTATTTTCGGTCATTTTCTATTTTTGTGTGGTGTAAAGAGTGGTAGTTGGTTGATCTCTAGGTGGATACTATGGTTTTGATTCTCGAAATCCCCCCAGACGGCGCCAAATTGTTTGGCTCAAAAATTATATTCGTATTTTATAAGCTTAAAAACAATCGAAAATATATAGGGGTAAATCGTAATCAAATATAATAAGCCCAAGAGATGATTATTGCTTCAAGAATGTTTGTAGATCTGTAAGTGCATAGTGAAATAGACTTAGCTTAAGAGGGAAGCAATGGTTGGAAAATCAAGAAAGAGATAAGAGAGAGAGATAGAGAGAGAAATTGTATTATCCGAGAATCACCATCCCCTATTACAATGTGGAGGTCTCCTTTATATAGTAGGAGACCTCCCTCGAAATAATCAAAAAGGTACAAAAGTTGGTGGCTTCCACTCAGTAAAAAGGTCAGACATTAAACGACGTCACTTCTTCTTCACCAACTTGGGTCGTGCCCTCACTCGGGTCGCCCTTATTATAAGGGACGTACCCGTTTGGCGTGGGGGAGTTATGAGCCAAATTTAACCCTATACACTTAGGTTAAGATGAATTACCAAATTTAAATGGTCGTAACTTTATTACTCCAACTGATCAAATTTATTTTTAAGTTGAATTATTCGTTTAACAATTTCCTCTAATATTGTTATATCCAACCAAGCATATCTTTTCGTAAGTTATGGCAAGTTAGTTCCTTCATAGTTTGATGGGACAATTGGATAATGCGTGTAGTTTAAATTACAAACTTTTAGATCGAGTTAACTCAATATGTGTCTTTTGACTCGCAAATGATACTTATGCAGCATAATGTGCTCAAATGTAAGCAGCTAGCTTAAGCGGCTTACTTTACATTACATGTGAGGATGGGGCCGGGGCAATATAGCGAAACTACTAGAAGAGAACTAAATAAGTCCAAATTAAATGTAGAGGAATATTAGTTGATTTGACCTGGAGCAACTTGGCCAGCTAATTATTTCAAGGGAAAATAATGTTTTTTTAGAATGGCTTAGTTGAAGAGGTTGAACAGACTTTTTAAGACTTGTTCTACTTTAATATTGTCAACAGCTGGAATATTAAGACAGAATATTAGGGTGGTGTCATTCATGTTTCAGGGATTTGGCCCTAGTCGTCTTTGAAAGGCTGTATATATTGGCACTTGTTTGAAAGTCTTCTACGTAGGAATGGACTAGCAATATGATTCTCGGAATATGCCCATGCCGGGAATATAAATTATAGTGTGTTTGGCCAAGCTTTTTTGTCAAAAGTATTTATTTATTTTGTCGTCAAAAGTATTTTTTTTTAAAGTTAAGGTGTTTGACCAAACTTTTAGAAGGAAAAAACTATCTTTGAGTATAAGCAGAAGCCGTTTTGAGAAGCAAAAAAAATTAGCTTCTTTCCAAGAACACTTTTGAGAAAAATACAATTAGAAGCACTTTTAGAAGTTTAGCCAAACACTAATTGCTGCTCAAAAGTATTTTTCAAATTAATTAGTCAAACACAAACTGCTATGCACAAAATTTTTTTTTTTTAAAAAGGTATTTTTTAAAATAAGTTGATTTTAAAAGCTTGGTCAAACAAAGTATTAGTTGACAGTAGTTAGAGGAAGTTTGTTGAAGTTGTGGTAGAGAAAATATAAATAGGACTGTCTCTCTTTGATAATATATGTTCGCAGATGAAATGATACACAAATCAACAGAAACACAATCGCCGGTGAGGTTTCTCGATTACTTTGACGGGTTGTTTGGTGTAGCCGTAGAGGAATTAATGCGAAGTGAAGCAGAAATTATAATGTACGAATTATTCACTTGTCAGATACTTGATTAATTTGATGTTACAAATTAATATGTAGTGTACAACTTAAAATATGCCTTATATTGTTAAACAAAATAAAAGTTTGTTTACTTATGTAGGTTGGTTTATTCATTTTACTTGTTTAATACGTGTATGACTAATATTTAAGTTCTTATTCCATATTCTATCATACATAAAATAATATATAGATGTCCCATAACTTACACATATATTGTATGGGGCAAAAGAATAATAAAAGTAATCAAACATTGTTTAATAAAATGTTAGATTTTATTTGGAGAGAACTCCTTACCATACCAACCAAATGGCCCTTGATGTATGACACTCTTTGTTTATTGTGGTTCTTATCTTGTGTATTCATAACAGCATATCATTAAAGATAAAATAAAAAAATTAAAATTAAGATATCAAATATAGAAATATGTCAATTTCATTAAGCGAGTCGAAAAAGAAAGACTGAATTTCATGCTTTGGAAATGCTAGCTATATCGTAGATATGATTACTAAAAGGCTATTGTAAACCAAGATTTTGGTTGCTCGGTCATGTATTCAGGCCAGATTAATTAATTAGCAATATTGATCATGTCTGTATCTTAAGTTCTTAACTAATTTATCTTGATTGTTTCCCTAAGAAACAGGAAGAGAAAACTCATTCTTTTTTCTTTTCTCAGTGTTTTCGCAATTGAATGAAAGGTGATGAGTGTGCTTAAATGCTTATAGTCTATGTTGCGCAGACTATCTAAAATGTTGTCGCACCCGTGTCGAATCCTCCAAAAATACACTACTTTTGAAGAATCCGACACGAATCCGGCAACATCTTTGGAGAGTCGAACAACATAGCTTATAGTTGATCTGTATACAACCAGGCTTTATGTGCAGTACTTCGGAGTAATTTATAAACTCTTGATTCTAGTAGTCACAACCCGAGTTTCAGTCATGATAAATATTGAAGATAAAGATTAAAAAGAAAAGAAATCAAGACCCTTTTTTTCCTTTTTGACATTTACGAAAGAGTTGAAGGGGGGAAAATTGTCTACTTCTACATGACGCCAAGAAATTGTCGATTATGTGATGTAATCAACTGCAAATTAAAAAGAGGAGGAAACAATTTTAAAATCATTCAATGACTAATGTAGGATATAGCCTCTACTAGGATAATTGATGACTCATTTTCCAGAACCACTGTCTTATCTGTTGGGCTAAACTAGCCCAAATACACTCTTAAGTCTTAATATGATGTGATATTATCCGCTTTGGGCCAAGCCCGTACGGTTTTCCCCAAAGGTAAAAATTGCACGGGGCGCCCTATTTGGGCGCCCCCTTTTAACCTGTAGCCGCTTTGTCTTTTTGTTTGCACCCGTACCCACTTTTTAAAAAACTTCAGCTTCCCTTTCTCCTCCCCTTCTCTTCCTCTTCTTCTTCTTCTTCTTCTTCTTCTTCTTCTTCAATACCACAGTTCTTGCTCTTCACTGTAGTTAGTGTTTGAGATAAGCCTTTACAAATAGAATATGAGATTGGAACTTGCTAGTTTCATGCTTTGCGGTAACTGAAGAAGATAGATTTTCTGGATTTAGCTTTGCACGATATGTAATCGTCAGATTTTCATTAACCATTCTAACAAGTTTTAACGGGAAATAATATGTAGCTACTTAAACATGATATTTCAAGACTATCCGCCAAAAATTGCTAGATATTTCCATGTAATTCCTTTGATGAATGTACAAAAAACAGTACAAGAAACAAAGACAAAAACTTCAGCTCCTAGTTACAACATAGAAACTTCAGCTCTAGAGCTGAAGTTTTTATTTTATAACTGGCAAACTTCAGCTGTAGAGCTGAAGTTTTCCGGTTACAAAGACAAAAACTTCAGCTCTAGAGCTGAAGTTTTCCAGTACAAAAGAAAAACTTCAGCTCTAGAGCTTATGTTTTTATTTTATAAACTTAAGTTCTAGAGCTTAAGTTTTTATTTTATAACTGGAAAACTTAAGCTGGAAAACTGCTTAAGTTTTTATTTTATAACTGGAAAACTTAAGCTCTAGAGCTTAAGTTTTCCAGTTACAAAGACAAAAACTTCAGCTGAAGTTTTCCAGTACAAAAGAAAAACTTCAGCCCCGTGGGCTGAAGTTATGTGAAAAAGCGGGTACGCTTGCAATTTTTTTTGCAAAGCGAGCACAAGTTAAAATGTGGCACAAAAAACGGTATAGATGCAAATGCCCCCAAAAAGCCTCACACCATTAAGAGTTCCCTACACTTTATATGTAGACTCCCAATTTTTTCAGCTACCAATGTGGGACTTTGTTCGCACACCCAACATTATCTAGGTTTGGATTAGTGCTAAGTGGATAGAACCTTTCCTTCCTAACATGCCAAGTGATAATATATTGAATTGCTAAAAAAAATTGTCCTGAGGTCTAACCACCCTTCGAAATATTATAAGGAATAAAAGGGGCAATGACATCAAGATTGGTCCCTGGAATACATATGACCGTATTCTGTACCATGAATTAACATAGAGCAACTTAATTGCTCTTGTTTGAATAGCTTTGGATATTTGATGACTATTTTGCTTTAGTTGCACTCCCCTACTTTGTCGCATCATTACATTTTCTTATTATTACATTTATTATATACATTAATGACAATTTTTTTCTTTTTTTATATACATTGATGCAAATTATGTACCATTGGTGGAGAGATGATGTAGATTCTTTACACTTGATATTATAGCCTGTATGGCCAAAAAGAATTTTGGGACAAAAGTGTTTTTTCGCCAAAAGTATTTTTTTCAAAAAAATTGAAGTGTTTGACCAAGCTTTTATAAACCAAGCTTCTCTCTAAAAACACTTTTCTGAAAAATACACTTAGAAGTTTTTAAAAGCTTGGCTAAACACTATTACTGCTCAAAAGTATTTTTCAAATTACTTTGTCAAACACAAACTACTTATTACCAAAAGCACACTTTTGAGAAAAGCACTTCTCAAAATAAGCTGATGTTAGAAGCTTGACCAAACATACTATTAATCTTTAAGGTTTCGAATAAACCAATCTTAACTAATGAGTATATCGTTTTTCAAAGTTACAGCGTAATGGATAATGGTAGTAAACTATTGTACAATCGAAGTTAAAGAACAAACGTTGTATCTTCTGTTGTATACTTTATGGATAGAACAAGAAACTAACAGCATATAAAACAGATCTCCTCTTTCAAAGTAATGTAGAGATTAAAATCTTGAGTAGCTGTATCATCCAAAATACATAAACAAAGATCAAGTTCTTCATATATGATTCTTCTGCCAGAAAGACTGATGGCTCTTTCCGTTCCTACCAGGGAAATGCCAACCATCTCTCCTTGGCTACAAAACACTTGAGCAACTAATATCCAGATACTGTTCAGAAATTTTTAAAACTTAGTCCAAACCATGAACCACGAAGCATTACCGTAGATAGACCGCACATACAGATACAGGAAACAAATCAAGGCATGTCAACCAGTTTCCTGCTCAAAGTCATCACCTTCTGACTCCTCGCCATTGTCTGCATCATCATCGTCTGCTTCATTGTCAAAGTCTTCTTTATCATTATCTATGTTAGTCTTCCCAATTACAACTAAGTTGCTGTTCATCTTTCTGATTTCATTACACTGCAAATTTTGCAAACATCAAGAAGGAAAAGTTAGGAACTTGGTAGTATTTGTCAGTTGATATGAGGCCAGACAACTCCTTATGAAGAAAGAAAAAAGAATGAGGTTTTGCAAATGAAAGCAAGATTGGAAGTTACAGAAAAAGGAAAGAAGACAAACATAACGGACTTAACAGTTGCAACAAAGCAAGTAAGAGAAAAGCTGGATCCAATCAGCCAACTATTTGATACATGCCCACTTTATCCCACTTTGGTTTATCATGGGCTACACAAAATAACATATTTACCTATTTTCTCCAATATGGCACCTTTTTAAGTCATAAACCTTAGTAGTATTCCAGTAAAGGAGAATGTAGACACCAGCCAGGGAAAAGTTCATGATTCAATCTCTTCCAAAAAACTTTTCTGTTCTATAAATAAGTCTTATTGATGTTAACATGGAAAAATGAGACATGGTTCAGAGAAAAAGGTCACAATTCAACCTCTTCCAGAAAACCAATACAAACAAATTTTATAATCATTATATTGTTTGTTCAAAAAATTAACCTACATAAGAATCTTTTTTAATAGAAGATTTCTTGAGAAACTGTGAAATTATAGCATGATTTTGTCTCCATCCACTTAACCATAATTCTTTCTTCTTTGTTTCTAACCCCTCCTTTCCTTCAGCATTAATCCCTCAATGGTCTTAAATAGCTAGAAGTAAGTAGTTGCATCAAAAATCCTCAAATCGTAGGACAGGCAGTGTTCTGCTATACTGCCAACTAAACACTTAGCTGTTGGCTTCCAACACCTGACTTGGCAATTATAATTAAGGTACATGGCACTAGGAGAAGTTTGCAGTCCTAATTTTCGAACCTAATCAACTAATAATTTAACAGTTGTCGCATCAATTATTTCAAATGTACAAACCTTTAATTAAGGTAATTGTCACTGGAATAACTCCAGAAATAACAACTTACATAAACTTAAGTAAGCAAGCAGCAAATAAGTACCTTAATACAGGGATGGTTGAGGCCTGAAGGAACATATGTTGGGGAGAATACATAAAAAGCTAAAAGAAGATCATAACTCATAAACACACACACAAAAAAAAAGATAGAATGAAAAAATACATTTGTAAAAACATAAAGGAAAGTGAATAAGAAATGTCTGAAGAATTATGTATATATCATGGATTTTGAGAGAAAGTCACTGCATTTTTTTCATTTTTTGTACAATGCATAAAAGAACACTCTCTGCAAAGACAAATTCTCATTGCTCTTGACCCAGGAAAGAGACTAGTTAGAAGAAAGATCCTATAGGTCAAGAGCCTTTGTGCAATAGGCACATCAATAGTCCTTCTCCACCAGCTACCCTAAAGTAGCTCTATCAAGCCTAACTTTCTGTCAATCTTGCTTTTCATTCAAGAATTAGATGCTGGTCCACAAAATTCCTGTATTTCAATGGAAGAGTCCAGCTATTCAAGAGTGTTCTATTTGAAATGCAAACTTATTGGGCTCAAGTCTTCCTACTACCAAATAAGATCATTACACTAGAGCCAAATGTTTGCAGAACATTCCTGTGGACTGGCAGCAATGAGGTCTCAAGGAAGGCCTTAGTAGCATGGGACAGACGGTATATGCCAATGTCTGCTGGGGGCCTAAAAATTCTGAATTTCGCAGGTGGAACAAAGCAGCTATTTGCAAGCTTCTTTGGGTTGTGAGTTGTGACTCAGAAAATAGAAACTTATGGGTGAAATGGATTCATAGATTCTAAAAGGAGAGACTTGCCACACCTTCCTACTCCTAAACAAGCTGGTTGGGCAGTCAGGAAGATCTTTGATGCAAAAGATAGGTTAGTGTGTAATGGGGATCCTAGTTTAGCGCTTAACAGCTTTACAGAAATGGAGAAGTTCAGCATCAAGAAAGCTTAAAAAAAATTCACTCCTCAGTTTCAAAAGGTAGCATGGAAGAAGGCAGTCTTGGCGAAAAGCATAATACCAAGGGATCAGTTCATCCTATTGTTGGCAATACAACAAAGACTCGCCGATGTTGATAGACTAGAAAGATGGGGGATTCAGGTTGATAAGGGCTGTGTGCTATATAGTTCAGATACTGAGGAAACAATGTCACATCTCCTGCTTGCCTGTCCTTATTCAAAGCATTTGTGGGGGTATACTAGCTTGGCTGGGAGAAAACAGAAGAAGTGGCTTTTGGCAGGATAAAGTGCAGTGGGCATCTAACAAGGTTAATAACAGCAGGCCAAGGGCTAGTATCCTAGGCTTCCTATTTGCAAGCATTGTTTGCCGTATCTGGGCAGAGAGGAATGCAAGAAGATTTCAGAAGCAGAAACAAGAGAGTTGGCAAAGGATCAAGGAAATTGTTATACAACTTCATATCATAGGCCAGAGAAATTGTAAATGGAAGAGTCAATCCAAGAGTTTTAATAGGTACCCAACATAGAGTTGGCTAGATTGCTGCTATCTGATGATGTTCCAGCTTATACCCTTTCTAAAAGGTGCTGAGCTGAAACTGAATAGCATTGCAATGCCAAATTTTTTGCTTAGTGATGTAGATACAGTTTTGGTTTTACTTTTTTAGAACTAACTCTTGAGTCCAAAAGAGCTTGTTGTGTGCATTGTTATACTTGGTTGAACATAAAATTTTATTTTGACCAAAAAAATAAATAAATAATAGTCTTCCTCTTAAGTTGACATGGTGCTGTTAATACTTAATATCCTCATCATAATTACATAAACATTTCTATTTCTATTTTTTATTTCTTCCAAACGTCGTATCACTTAGGACCACACACTTGGTTCATAACTTTTGTACATTTCGTTTATTGCGTCAGAATAATAGAGAAAGCTAGAAACTATGGTCCAAGTTGGTTAAGGCTAGAAACCTTTCAAGAATATATTAACTTTGAGACAAATATTTCTAGTGTTTATTTATTCCTATTTGTGGCTCCCCCTACCCTACCTATCAAGATTAATTTTGTGTTGGATGTAGTATCACAGTCTCCATATAAACTAGTTCACCTCGAACCCTAATACAGATTAACAATTTCTTTCAAGCAAGTATAACCTATATAATAACAACATATTTACTAGCAGTAATACTGAGGAAAAATGTATATTACTTCCCTGAGTTCCCCAGCAATTCTCGACAAGACAAGCACTTCTAAATATTTATAATAATAACATGACCTAATTATCGACATTTGATACCCCTATAAATGCATCGACAAGCAACACAATAATGAGAAACTAGTTCACCTTGAATCCTAATACAAAAAAAAAAGGTTCTTCAAAGCAAGCATAATCTATATTATAGCAACATATTTACCAGCAGTAATATACTTATTAAGCCAATTAGACAATATTTTGGAGACAAATTGAGGAAAAATACTTCATGTTACCTACCGATCAAAACAAAAAAGGAAGTTACTTATGCTACTTCCCCTAAAAATTCACAACAAATGAGACAAGCACAACTAAATATTTATAATAAGATCAATCTGTCAACAGTTGATACCCTAAGATACATATACAAGCAATATTACAATGAGATTTCAAACTGTTGGGAGAAAGAGGGGAAAGACAGACCTTTTCTTCAAAATCAGATTCCTCCATAGCAAGGAGAAGCTCGTCGCTCTGAGGCTGGGGCCACTGCGCTGGTAGCAAAAACGACGTCGGAATGATCCGAGTAGAACAAGGATACTGTAACATGAACGATGGATACTGCAACATTTTCTTTTCCTTTCCTTTCTTCCCCACTCTCTGCTCCTGCTTTGCTCACTCTGTTTCTATGTACTTTTTGAGTTTGTATTGGGCCTTGTTTGTTTGGTGATCCAAAAAGGCCCATTGTTTCTTCTGGAAACTCTAGTTTTTAGTATTTTCGCGGGGTTTTGGCATGGTATAACAACGGGAAATTTTCATAATTACTTAATGATTTGAAAAATATTCCATAATATGCAACTTGGTTTTGAATTACAAATTGTACAACATATATATTATATATATTATCTAAAAATAAGGTAACTTCCCCTATTTAAGGTGAATGTCGTCAGATCCTTAACGTATGGAACTTTTCTAGGATATTTGGTAAGCGTATATTTAGGTATTTAGAACCTAAATATTCTCTAATTTATTAATTATTAATTATCAATATAAACCTATTAAGTTACCACTACAACACTACCTCATAACAAACTCTACATATTCCCCAAAAATAGGTAATAGTCGTAGTTGCATATTCTCTTCATGGTATGAAAATTATCGATTATTGCATATTCTCTTCGTGAATCTCCATATTTGTATACCTAAGGTAGGATTCTGTACTCTAAGGACCAATGGTGAATGTATCAATTTTGATTCAATACAATGGTGTTTGGCAAGACAATCGCAGATATGTTAAATTTGATGCCGAAGGGATTTTGATCAATTCGAGCTGCAATTATGAAGAGTTGGTCACGACAATATCGAAGCAAATCAAAGGGGGGAGTTGTACAAAGTTGATTGATATTAAGTATATTGTTCAGGAAGCGTATCCACCAATTTTCATATCAAACGATATGAATGTACAACTGTATATAGATTTAAAGATGAAAAAGACAGAGATCACTTCGTATCCGCTATGCATAACATTCAGGGATAATGCAGTCGACAGAGAATATGTGAATCCAAACAGTTCTGCAACATCATCATATCGTGTATATGATTTAAATATACCAGATTTGCTGGAAAATGGAGCAACAGGGGTGATATGTAACGGGAAAGAATTCGACGGCATAGATGAAGCTCAACATAGTATAATTCGAGACCCGTCAAATCAAAACATCGAAGAAGGTCAGTTATACCAAGACAAAGAAACCATTATAAGTGTTATGAAACACTGCGCAATCCGTGAGAATTTTCAGTTCAGAGTTCAGAGTTCCTGTACAAAAAGTTATATTTAGTATTGTTATGTAAATTTCTTCCTTGCAACACTGAAATGTTAAAACAGGTATATAGTATATTGAAGATTATGTATGCGTGTATTAATTAGATAGAAGTAGTAGCAAAATATTAAATGTTAAGTTACTATATATATATATATATATATATATATATTATATTGCTTATAGATATAACATATAATGTTTTCATATTCAGTATATCATATTTTTCTTCCAACAGGTATTGTCTCGTATGCGTGGACGACATGTGTACTTGGAATTTTGTATCTTCCAGACTGAACAATACTAAGATATTTAAAGTGAGGAAGTTCAATAATGTTCACAACTGTGGGGTCGAAGAACGAATGTATACACAACGTCATGCTACATCAGATTTCATAGGATATCTTATACAAGATAAGTACGTTGATCCAAAGACTGTGTATACTCCAGCAGATGTAAGGCGAAACATGAAAAAAATTCATGGTTTCGACGTGAATTATATGAAAGCTTGGAGATTGAAAGAGAAGGCTCTTGAAATGGTGCGAGGGAACCCAAGCAAATCATATACAGAGCTTCCTAACTACCTGTACATGTTGATGCATACAAATCCCGGGTCCGTATATAAATTAAAGAAAACTGATGATGGATCATTCTTGTATATATTTGTAGCTATTTATGCATCGATCAAAGGGTGGGAGTATTGCAAACCAATCGTCGTTGTTGATGGCAGCTTTCTAAAATCTACATATAGAGGAACAATAATCACTGCTTCAACACAAGATGCGGCAGGTAATTTAAAAATATTGATGAGTTAAAATTATCTACTCATTCTAAGCTTTCCTTTTACTTGTAAGAGAGTGAATATAAGTGAGTTTAAAGTTCATTTGCTTATATATTGTAGCTCCCAGTTAGTTTCAGATTTTGTTTTTTTTTTTGTTCGACTCTATTGATGAGTTTTTACAATTGTATAGTATACTGTAATTATAAATTGACGCAACACCATACATAAAATATACTTATTGGTGATAATATAGCATATACAGTGTTTCGCATATTTGATGTCAGCTTATAAAGAGCATCTACGGACACAGGTAAAATTTTCCCGCTTGCATACTCTATTGTTGATTCAGAGAACGATGCATCTTGGGAATGGTTCTTCGAAAGATTCAGAGAGACATACGGTGTAAGAGAAGGAATGTGTATAGTATCTGACCGACATGAAAGCATAGCAAAGGCATCTTCAACAGTGTTTCCAAGTGTGCCTCACTGTGTATGCATTTTCCACTTGTGGAACAACATAAAAGTGAAGTTCAAGAAGAATCAACTGCTTATGAAGGATCTTTTTTTTGCAGCAGCGAAAGCATACACGATTGAAGAGTTTGAGCATCATATGAGTGAAATTGATGACCTTGACAAGAGGGTTAGACCATATTTACTCAAAATCGGATATGATAGATGGTCAGTAGCGCATTCAACAGTCAACAGAACAACAACTATGACTTCTAAAATTGCGGAATCGATAAATGCAGCAAATAAAAGTGCAAGAGACTTACCAATTCGTCCTTTGGTTGAATACATGGCGAACTTGATTCGTGATTGGAATTATCAAAACAATAAAACTGCCATGTATACCTTCACAAAGCTGAGTGAGAAATATGAAGACATGCTGCAGAAAAACATGATCAAATCTCATAGGATGACGGTAATATGAGTCTCTTGTATACTATATATATATATATATATATATATATATATATATATATATATAGAGAGAGAGAGAGAGAGAGAGAGCAGTATATATTATATAGCCTACGTATATTATGATTATATATATATACATATACTATATATTTTCTACCACCATAATTTTGACATATTACAGGTGAAGCCGTCAAGCTATTCATTATATACAGTATTGGAAGATGGTATGCGATATGTGGTGGATATGAACGTAAGAACATGCACACCGTAGATTTCAGAAGGATGAAATGCCGTGCCCACATGCGTTGGCAGTTGTGACAAAGGAAGGAATGAGTGCGTACGAGTATTGCTCAGTATACTTTAGTATTGATTACATGGTAAAAACCTATGAACAAAAGGTATTTCCAATACCCGACGAGAGCAATTGGGACATTCCTAGAGAAATATCAGAAGAAGTCGTACTACCACCAGTTGGTCAAGTTCAGCCAGGAAGGCCAAAAAAGTGTCGATAGCAGACAGCTGCGGAAATACAATCCAAGAAGTCCAAAGTTTCTTGTGGTATATGTGGACAGTATGGCCATAACAGGAAAACATGCAGAAATCTTCCAAAAAGAGATTGAGTCTTTTGATTGTCTGTGAAGAAATTGATGCTTCTAAAAAGAACTTGTGTATTCTAGTAATATTTCTGTCTTTGGTCTTTATCCCTGGTTTGATAATTCAGTGAAAGCTAAGTTGTTATCAAGTTTGTAATCTTATTATCTAAACTAGACAATAATGTCAAAGTAGCAATTGAACTGTATATTATATCTTTCATTTCATCCTTATTTTATTCTTCCCTTACTGAAACTTAAAAAATATGAAATGAAGTACATACAAGTAACAATTGAACTGTATATATCTAAGATGTCATTCTAACACCTATAGGATATCGCAAACAAGCACTGTGGAACTCATGTAGGGGATGATCTGTTATTACACTGTATTTGTAAAATAAATTCTGGAAATATAAATGAATATAAACAGTAATGAATATAAACAGAAATGACATAAACCAATTCGAGCCCACTGAATTCACAGTGTTTCCTTAAGGAATTTAATCCCCTCCTAGTACCCAAGGTTATGGATTATTTCCTCCCAGGATAGAACGAATTACACACTGGTGTAGTGGTACTTCAAACCCCAGTGTTTCAGCGAACACAAAGTTCGGTAGCAAATCACACTTACTTTTTGCTTTGTTTTGATGCTAAAAGTATGCAGAAGAAGGAGAGGAAACTCAGAAAATTGTAGTTAAAATTCTGAGCAGAATAGTGTTGTATTTATAGCCAAAGTTGGGTCTCTTCAGAATGGCTGTTTATGCAAAACGCCCACAACATAAATGCCATTACATAAATGGCCATTTACTCAATAATAAAGAGGGAAAATAAAGAGGGAAAATTGAAGAGGGTAGTTACTTTTCTGTTACCAAAACAGAAAAACGGATTGGATTTAATATTAATATTTAATATTAATATTTTGTTATTAAAACAAATATTTAATAACATTTCTGTTAATATTTTACTATTAACAAATAAATTTGGTCCAAAAAGTTAATCAATCAATCGATCATTTGACCAAATCCGAATCCGAATCCGTAGCCGTAGCCGTAGCCGTAGCCGTAGCCGTAGCCGAAGCCGAAGCCGAGCCGAGCGAGCGACGACGACGACGGCGCGAGGCTTGCCTTCTTCTCAACTCTTTAAGAGCTAGAAGAAGAGCAATTGCTTATATACCCATAAAAAACCTCTTCCTCTTCCAATATGGGACAATGCCCATTTGCCAAGGGAGGGGGAACTTAAAATTTTACTCAAAAATTTCATTTCCCTCCATTTCCTATTCACCCTTTTTTAAGTATTTAATATATTAATTAAATACCTTAAAAACCCAACAATCCCCCACATGAATGGGGAATGGCTATATCACGGAAGTATGCATGAAAAACTGTGTGATTCACAAGTAAGGATTAATTGCATCTGGATAAGTAGGTTTCCTTTTGAACTTTCCATAGTGAACTTATGTTGGATATACTCGATCAATCGGTAGATTTGATATCTTTGAACCGTCGAACTTTAGTGTATACCTAGACAACCACAAGTCACACAACCAACCCTTAACCGTCTTTGGTTCTCATTGTTGTGTTCGTTTCAG